GGTGGATGCTCCTTTGCTGGATGTTTTCAAGCAGAGGCTGGACGACCATCCTTCGGGTATGTTGTAGGTATGTAGGGCTACCTTTCGGCTATGCTCCTGCAGAGTGCAGGGGGGTTGGACTAGATGACATGCAAGGTCCCAACTCTAACATTCTATGATTCTACGACTCTCTGAAATCCTCAGACTGTCTGGCATTCGGAAGTTCTAGCTCTTTTAGTGTTATGCACCACTCGGTGGTGAGCCAGACTTTGTTTTTGGGGCTTCATCAGACATGAGTAGAAACGGAGATCTCTGATGCATGTCTGACAAAAGGAGCTTTGACTCTTGAAAGCTGAAACCCTGAAACTCTTGTCGGTCTCTAAAGAGCTACTGGATGCAAATCAAACTGTTCTACTGCAAACCAACATGGCCACCCTCTGAAACAATCTACATTCTGAACATGTCATTTTACCTCAATACTTTCTGGTTTAGCCTTCCTGGCATTCCTTGACCATTCTGGAAGGAACTGGGAAATCTCATTTGCTATCCGCAGTGAGTTACTTAACAGTGCATGTCAATTACCCAATACAATCAGAGAACACAATGCTTATTGCATGTTGTCTCGCAAATGTTGCCAAACAGCACTATATACCAACTACTGAATGCTGCCAAAGTCAACGGTCAAATACCAAAATTGTATATCATAATCTTACTCTCTCTGGAGAATAGTAAACAAATATCCAAGAGGTCAGCGAATATTTGACAACCCATTTTCCAGAGGGGAATATTAAGGATAGGTTTTGGGATCAAAGGACTTTCATCTGGAAAGGCCACCACTGCAACAATCCCAGGGGTTTATCTGGAGCTAGTAGCTCTGCAACTGGAAAGATGCAGCACTTGGGAACAAACAAATCTCTATCCCTTTAGAGTAGCTCCCAAGTTGAACAGTACGACTTCAGAGTAAGACACAAAAAGCTATAACTTCGAAAGCATTAGCCACTCCACTATCAGGTATGGGGCAACCAAGAAAGGGCTCCCCCATTCAAAAGGCAGATGGGTTGTTGTTAAGAGTGCATGTTTTATAAGTTTATTGTGCAAGCATTGCAATTTTCCAGTATTATTGTGATAAAAAGCCACTGCTCTCTCCCTCACCCTTTCTCTGAGAATACACATCATGCAGATGAAACCATCAGAAAAGGAAAAGGTCACATGCTGGATCCCCTTTCACTGCTATATTTAAACAAAGGTTGATCAGGATTCTCTAATGCCACAGAAGCAGCTGTGAAGCTTCAAAAGGCGGATACAAGAACAGGGGGAATGCTACATCTGACGGCAGACTCACATGGGATACCATATTTCCATTTTGCTTTCATCCTTGTAAAGGGGGGCTTTGAAGAGAAGAAGCTCACAGGACATCTGTTTCAGAAGGTACTGATCTGGGAACAGACATTTCCCATCGTCGTCCCCCTCTCCCCCCTGCACACATTGATTCCCACCTGAGTTTGCTTCCTGTCTCTCATTGGTTGCACACTAAACTAAACAAAGACCACACTGCCATTTCCACTGCTGTGTCATCATGCAAGCCACACTTCATGCTGAACAGACTGCCCTGTTTATTCTAAACAGGCAGTCCAGGTCCTCCCACCCCAGCAGCTGAGGTAGCAAAACTGCCTCAACAGGAAGGAAGCTGGGCTAAGGAATTATTTGCTACTATCACTTGCATCATGTTTTACATTCTAGCAACACTTCATTAAATCAGAAGGTGAACTTGGAAAAGGACAAAAGCTTGCCTGAGTGCCCCATGGCTGCGGGGCGCCCAGGCAAGCCCCCCCTTGAAGGAAGGGAAGGCAGTTTAAACTGCCTTCCCTTGGCTTGGCCGGGTGCCTCGTGGCTGCAGGGAACCTGGGCAAGCCGGCCCTTGGACAGGCCGGGGAAGGCACGGGAAGCATTTAAATGCCTCCCCAATCCTTCCAGGGGGGGCCCTGGCCCGCCCACCTCGGAGTTGCCGGGGGGGGGGGTCGCTCTCCAGGCCTTCCCTCTGTAGCCACACACGCAGAGGTTTTGGCTTAGTGGGCGTGGCCAACTCTTAGGCCAGCTGGAACTCCATTCCTGTGCGTTCCTGCCCCAAAATAGCCCTGCTTCTAATCATTGCAATACTATGCAGAGTTACTCCAGTCTAAACCCACTGATTTCACTGAGCTTAGACTGGAATAACTCTGAATAGGACTGCACTGCACATCTCAACTCTCCCCCCCCCTTTGCCTGTGGTGGGGGGAAGGATACAACTTATATTGGAGCAGCAATTCTGGCAAAGGGGATTTAACACTTTTCCTTCTGCGGTCTGCCTAATCTCAATCAGACCAATCACAGGCAGCCATTAGCCCAGAGGCCGAAAATAAAAGATACAGGTGCTTCCCTTTTTCCCCTACACATTAAGTAGTTGGGCGGCGGGACAATTTTGAAATGGCATAGGAGAAAGGGTTAAACTTCTCCCTTACAGCTGCTCTAAAGACAAAAAGTGGGGAGATCCATGATAGATCTCCCTTGTCTTATTTGGTTTGATCTCTAGCTATTGGCGTAAAGGGGTATGAATGAAAACTGGGAACACCAGTGCACACTTACTTGCTATCTTTAGGGATCCAGCCCTTGCTAAAAAGAAAGAGTCATCACCCTTTTATGCTCCTAGGTGGTACCTGCTAACCCCATGGTTCACACACTAAATAGAGGAAAGCAGGTCTGGGGAGGCCCGGTGCATAATGCTCAAATAAGCTGGTATTTCTTTAACTGAGTCCGAATGTTC